CACCCCATTGGCTTAGATATTAAAACGAATCATCAGGTTATAAAATAGGACAAGTGCGAGTCCACAGTCTACAAATATTCTCAGGTTTATTTTTGCGTTGGTGGATTTCGCAGCAGTCCCTCTGTGTTACTGAGAAATCGAGGCTATCAACATATCAAGAACAGTCAGCAGAAACAATGACTCATCCAAAAACAATCAACATGTAACGGAGCCTCTGTTTATGCATGGCAGGGCTGCAAACCATGTTGAATGTGAACTGAATTAAACCGTCTCACACTGCAGCAACAGAGCTTCAACCTTTTGAACTCTAAGCAGAGGCCTAATTTCACTGGCAGGGACTCAATCAAAACATCTTATCTGCAAACACACTGACCCATGAAATTCAGCTGCAGCCAATAGCCAAGCAGCAGGGTTACTTATGGCAGGCATTGACTGGTTGATCCATGAGCACAAATCTGTAAGGGCACATAGCAGGAACACAGCCTGAAGCCAAAACTGGCTCACACTGTGTTTTGCTCTCACAACCTTGGAGCTGCCGTTTCCCCTCAAACTGACACACTCTTACTTTTCCTACCTTTCTGTTTCCCAAACTCTCCCACATGCACTCTCTGTCCAGGTCTTCCAAATTACCCCAGACCTGTTAGCCTATTTTTCTGTTGTGCAACTGTGGCTGTAAAAAACAAACCACTCTTTTCCAGAGGTCACCGTTCCAATGTGGCTTACATCCTGGGTTTCCATCTCCTTGGTCATACCCGTTCTTAACAGACTCACCATTGTTATAGGAGAAACTGTCATCACAGAAGTCCATGATTTTTATTTCAATCCATTAATCATAACCTATGCCCTGACTTTCCAGTATCCATTAATAATGCATCTGTATTGAAAAAGCAATACAAATATGAGGAGGGGTTTACAGCAAATGAAATCTTTTGTTACTCATTGATTTCATTCTCAATTATTTCCAAAGATCCAGGATTAACACTTTTCTATTAATCCACAGAAATACTGGGACAGCATTTTAAGCTCTTTGTTCCTTCTGATTTACAAGTGACACCAGCAACATTAATTAATACCAGCTGACGAGATAAGAGGGTGATTATGTTTTTGTCTTTGTGTGCTTTCAATAATTTGGGTATCTCATGAACCACCAGACCTATTTTAATAGTTTGTGATGGTCTTGTTCTTCAATGAGAAACTGTGCAATACTTAATTTTTTTTAAATACGATGGATCACTCTGAGTTACAGATTAATTCTGAATTTGAAAATTTCCTTCAGTCCCCATCAGCTTCATTAGCAGCAGTAAGGAAATAGCTGGGAAAACGATCGGGTAGCAAGAAGCAAGTCACAGTGAAAATTAGCGTTGGCTGCCTTGCCCAGCTTGGCTTGCAACCACGGAAGGCCAGGTTGATTGCAGCAAGGAGAGGGCAGAAGGCTGCTCAGCTAGTAGGAAGCTGATCATTAGCAACTTCATAACACATTTGGGCTTGGGCTTACACGTCATGGTTGCATTTTTTTCCCAAGAAAGAAGAGCAAACAAAGGCAGGGGAAGAGTTGCATTGCTGTTAGCCAATCAGAAGTGAAACGTTTTGACAGCAACAAACCAAAGGCAGTCAAAGGAGCAGCCCAGAAAATATTACTTGTAACCCTAAGAAGTCACTGTATCTTTTTGTTTAACTTTAATATCGTGTGAAGGCTAGTGGCTAACATTGAGCTAACAATGCTAATGGTGAATTAGAAATACATTTTGTGCCATACAAATATCTGAAGGTACTTTTTCAATTACCAAAACTCGATATATGTATTTATCTGCTTATTAGCTTACTGTATGACTCATCTTTCATAACCGGGAACAGCCGTGAAACTCGTGAAAAGGTAGCCTGACCAGCCAGGCCCATGCTTCCTTATGGGACACAATGGGTCTGGGAACTTCTATTCAAATTACCCCACCCACTGAGAATTCTAACTGAGCCAATCAGCTCTCAGCAGCGTATGTCACACACCATGACGCTGTTTCTCATAAACGTAGCGACTGAAGTGGAGTTGGCTGCAGCTCTTTCCTCTGTTCTAAATGACTTGAACATGTCTTTAAAACCACAACAAGCAGAAGTGCTAAAAGCCTTTCTTCTAAAGAAAGATGTTTGCACCGTCGCCAGAAGCCATTTTTGACAACAGCTAAAAAAAACTACAGCATTGCACGGCACAGTCTGCATCTTCGCCTTTTTTCTGATTGGTTAATTTTGAGCTGGCTAATCCCGCCCCTCATCTGCCTCTCTGCCTGTGAGTAACCAGACTACTTCTCTGTGTAAAATTAAACAGAGAACCAGTCTAGCTGGCCAGGCTAATGAAAAGGTAGGGGAGAGTAAGAGGACTCGGTTGTTTTGAAACAGGGACTGCAGTACCCAAATTTGACCACATGATGTCATTCTAACTTCATGCTCCTTTGAGACACTTATTTCCAGATTTGACTGATGTGGTTCTACCTTCATCATTTCTCAACAGAAGAGGATCTCAGTTTAAACCTGACATGAAACATGGTGGTCAAAATGCCGGGTCTTTAATTTGGAGACTTTCTTCATTTTTACACAAATTGGTCATTTGAGATTTAGACTTTTGCTGGCACTACAATGGAGGAACCACTACAGGAGCACTGTATCAGCCATTCCCCATCCGCAAATCTGTAATGAGCAAGCGAACAGAGACAATCAGGACAGAGGAGGGCCTCAGTTCAAGTGAGGCAGGCACACTTTCTAATGGAAATTCTGATACAATCATCCCAGAATGCACTTCTCTCTGCCTAATAATCGGACGCTAGAACAAGGCTGCTATTGAGAGGGAGAGTGACTGTAATCTGGCCCACCGAACTCTAAAGCTGCCCACTTTAATTAGCTTCTTTCCCCATCTAACACAAACTTCCAAGCAAACTTCTGCAGTGATATGTGAAGGGGGGAATTTTCGGGAACGCGTGAATTCACAAGTGGGGAAATTTCTTGGCCTGTTGTACGAGTCACCTCATAAAGACAGGTGTACCAGCTGTGAAATTTACTGGTAATTTGGTAAGAGGCTGGTGTTTCATTCAATGGCAGGCCGGTATGTTTAGAGAAAAGAGTATCTCCAAACTTATGTTAATCATAAATGACATTTCTCATTTTATAAATGGTCCAGTGTTGAGAAACAAAGCAAGTTGGTGACTTTATTTGCACCTAAAGCCCTGACTATTTACATTATATGGACAAGACTATCTCAGCACTGCTCCCTACATGGGCAAGCCCAAGGCTTCACAACCCCAGGGGAAGAATGACAGGGGTGAGTGCTGGTAGCTAGCCTGCTGCCCGAACAAATGGCACAACCATTAGAGGAAGACGAAGCTTCCTGGAGAAGTGTGACTGCATTGCAAAGGGTCCAATCAAGCAGAGAAGAGAAGTGCTGACAGCTGCTAATGCATTTACCTGAAAGCTTAAAGGACCGTCTCTCACAGAAACACACGTGTGTGTGTGTGTGTGTGTGTGTGTGTGTGTGTGTGTGTGTGTGTGTGTGTGTGTGTGTGTGTGTGTGTGTGTGTGTGTGTGTGTGTGTGTGTGTGTGTGATCTCTACTCAGCATGGTTCTCCTAATGCAGGGGTGCCCAATCCCGGTCCTGGAGGGCCGGTATCCAGCAGGTTTTAGTGGTTTCTCTGCTCCAACACACTTGATTCAGTGGTTGAATCACCTGTGCAGCAGCTCATCAGGCTCTGCAGAAGCCTGTTAATCACCTGCTGATTGAATTCAGGTGTGTTGAAGAAGGGTTAAAACTAAAACCAGTTACTGGCCCTCCAGGACCAGGATTGGGCACCCCTGTCCTAATGAAGCTGACAATTCTAACAAGGAGAGACTAAACTTATCGAAAGAGGAGAGTCAAAACACAGCTGGCAAACGTGAAGGTAATGAGTCATCGTAACTGCTGACATAAGGACCCACAACACAAAAGCTTGTACATGCAACCCAATAAAGTTCCTGTTTTTTGGAACTGTCCCTTTTTTCCTCTAGCAGTGACACAGCAGTGGCGACAGAGCAAAGTCCTTGGTAGGCAGCAGATGTGTTTTAGAAGGCCATCCCACAAACGCACACTCATCACCATCTCCGTCCACTAGATATGAAAACAGCATTTCAGACATAGAAAGGTTTTTCTTTGGTGAGATTAGAAACCAGTCAAGTCCAGAAGGAAGGACTTGGACAGAAAGGGAGTGGCTGCCACAGCCATGATCACTCTGCAGTGGCTCTGACACATCGGGAACGACTTCTGCTACAAAAATAGTCTAATGGTGGCACTAATTGTTCTAACGTGAGGTTTTTCTGGTCTACCTATCTATATAGCAAACTGGGGGTGAAGAAAAAACTGAATATGTTCACAAATGTGTCTGTTAATTTTTTGACAGTAAATGTGACAGAATCAGATTAGATGAGGCACCTCTGACATCAGGAAGTATGAACTTTTACAAAGAAGTAAAGAAATTTAATAAAATAATTTTTATTCAAAATAAGATTGCCTTAATTCGGAGTTTATTCTGATGGGAGATTATTTTAATAGAGACAGAATGTTGAATATATTGAATTGATATTTTGCTTCTAAGTCACTTGAATTGTTTTCAAACCCAAGAGATTATGACTAAAACAATGCATAAACGTACACACATAGAAACATATTTACAGATTATTTTCCCTTTTTCTAGAAAAACAGCCATTTCTCTTATAGAGTATATTTAAACCATAATAGGTAGACCTCGCCATGCCTGCAAAGGGTTTAATGTTATGTTAATACACTCATGCAATATTGTTAGAATAATCATTATTATTAGTATTCCTAAGAGCTTCAATCATCATAGCAGCCCTGAGGGGGCAGAGGTGGGACTTTGGTGCAGTCCAAGCTGCAATCATGTAGAAAGTAGTTCAAATACAGGTTCAAATGTCAAAAACAGAGTCAAATGGGGCATTAAATGAAATTATCCAGCATTTATTCAACATACCATATCATTCCTGTCTCTTCGGGTATCGTCCGCTTCTTTCTCCTTCTAACTGCGAGCCAGCAACCAGGGAGACTTTTATAAAAGAAAACACTCCCCACATCGATTATTTTCCGCTCTTCTAGTAAACACGCTGTATGGCCATTGCTCCCCGCGTTAAGTCCTCGTTTTTAGATCTTTTTCTCCGCCAGTCTGTGAAGTTTTCAGACACGAGAAGCGCGTTAGTTACTCGCCTCTATTAGCCTGAAAAAATATAGTTAAACAGTGTCCGATAGAGAAGGAGAAAGGAGAGGAAAGGGGAAAACGCTGCTGAAACTCTCGTCCTTTCCTCTCAGCGGCTGGAGAAAAGGGGGAGGCGTTGGAAGGAAAGCCCTGCTTCGGTGTGTTTTCCCTTCTTGCTTCACCACCACGTTGTTTTGACCAGTTATTGTTTCCTTTGTTGCGTCAGGAAATAAAATATATATTTATATATATATTCCGGTTTAGTAAGGCGTTGTTTTTCCGTCCCGACAGCTTTGGAGCACCGCTGTGCTCTCCTTTCTCACGTTGTTGAAGCCCCTCGCAGGATAAATGTGTGACGTTGTGTTCAAGTCTAGGTTTTTTTCAGCTTCCCAATAATGGCGGACCTTCTGTGGATCGAGCATCTCCCCTCCTGTTCTCAGAGAGCAGAGAGGCTCTCCCAGCGGTTTGTGCACACAATTACAACACACACACACACACACACACACACACACACACACACACACACACAAAGACATTTACCGGGTATGTTCAGGGGAAATGCATCATAAATGTCTCGAATGTTTAAAAATAAATGTTAGCAATCTTAAAAAAAAAATCTCAAATTTGAGACCCAATTTGACTAAATTAAATGAATGCACATCTTGCTTATCCTCTTGGAATATTGTTAATATTTAGCATCAAGCTTCTTCTGGCACTGAAGCGTTCAGCTGGAGTATTAGGATTAGTGCCTTCACCACAAACCTGCCATATCCTGTCCTCCTCTGCCCACTGCTGCAGAATCTACTGGTGGACAGGGCCGATTTAATTTGTTTATTAATGTGATGTTGTTGTATGGTTACATAACAAAATAAAGCTGATTATTGGTATTGTGATTATCTTTGAAAAGCCCTTCCACCCACTGTAGTCCACTCTGGAGGAAAGCTCCTTTAGCTGTAGACCAAGACATCCCAGATGTAAAACAGAACGGTATTGTAGGTCATTCATCCCCTCTGCAGTAAGAGTGTATACCTCCTCAGTTTAACTGGTACTGGCATTATCCTGATACACAATAACATCAATGCAATATTCAGTATGTGTCCAATACTTGTGCAATACCGGATGTTCATTATGTTTGCATCCCTTAAGCTGCATAGTTCTGGAAACCTGTTTCCTTTTTATTTGTTGTTTTTAGTGGTTGAAGTTTGCAGTGATAGCTTTACTGCCTTTGTGTGTTTACCTGTTCTTATCTTTCTTCTTCATTTTCTCTAATGTTCTGCTATAGCAAGTGAATTTCCCCCACTGTGGGATTAATAAAGTCTATTATTTTCTTTATAGATATGAAAGTTATTATTGTCTTCATTATTCATAGCAGTGCTGCATTATTGTTGGGTGTTCCTGACATAACATGTAAAGCAACTATGATCAGACTTTCTGAAGGTTTTCACATCTCTACATTCTGACCAGTGGGGTCAAAGCCCTCCCCTGTGAATTAACACCCCCAGTAATAGTAATGCTTCTTTTTTTCTATCCATCATTGATATAAAAAATCTATAAAATAAGAAACCAAAGTATTCCTGTAGCGGAAGTTGTTTTCAGATGCATGGTCAGAATGTGACATGAATATAATAAAAGGGCTGTGTCCATATTCAGGTGCTGTTTCCTTTGAAGGACCCATCCTGGTCAACCGTGAAGACCAGAAGTGAGCAGCTGTGAAATTGGACAGTCTAGCCTTCAAATTTATGTCTGCACTTTAGTCAGCATGTAACCCGTCCCCTAGCAATCGTGACAGAGCTAAAAAAAAAAAAAGAAGAATGAATAAAAACAAACTTCTGTAAATTGAGCTTAAAATTTTGTTGTTATTTATTACCTATCTTATCCTTTTTAGGAGCTAATTCATCTTTATCACCTTACCAATTCATCCTGAGGTAGGGTGGACCATGAAGCACACGCAAAAGACCCATCCTTCAAATCCGGGGAGAAGAAGGACTTTTCACTGGTCCGTATCGGGAAGAGCCTTCACATTTAAACAGACTTTGTAGCATTGCTGTGATGTAATCAGTCTTCAAATCCAACCTTCGAAGGATGCTGCCCCTGAACTTGGACACAACCACAAACTGCTACAGATGTTTATTTTGTGCACCACCTCAAGATTATCATTGACCCCCCGCCCCCCATGGAGGCGCTCCTGTTTTCAGAGATTTTCTTTGGACTTTGTCTGCTTTCTCACTCAATTTTCAGAGGAATTTTTCTTTTTGTTTCCTTGTTGATCTTTTTAAATCTGACCCATGAATCATTCAGACATACCAAGGCTCCTAAACTAAAGCTAAACTCAAAGGATGAATCAGAGTTGTGTCAACACTGAGAATATTTTAACAACAACAAGGTGGTTCCCATGGACCTGTCAGCTGAGAACTATAGTCCTTTACAGTAGATGATCAACTAAAGGATGATGCCTCTCAACTTAGGTTTCAGTTCCGTCTTCAAAAAATGTGAATTTTAGATTCTGTTCATGTGTTATAGGCCTGATTTTTTTTATTTTATCCTCCACTTTGTCTACTGAGCACACACTCCTCAAACAGCTCTTTCCCCCACTATAACAGTATTTTAAACCTTTAAAAAGGGATAACCTGACACTCTTATTTCCATTCCTTCACAGCGGATCTCTGTTTCATGCACAGATTCAAATATTAGTCATCATCTAACATATTTGAATGTCCCATGGCTGCATCGCATAGAAAAATTTTGCTTTAAGAACCAAGAACTGTGACCTAAAAGTCTCATCCAGCAGCAGAAAGGGGGAATTTTTCCTTCCCGAGAAAATCAATCATCTCAAAGGTATTCCTAATTACTTGAGTCGTTCTCGGAGTCGTCCACTTGATAAAAGAATTACTATGAAGAGGTTTGCACTCTGATTAGTTCAGCCACTGAATGAATAATTGAATCTTCCGAGGAGGACGGTGGAGCTCTGTTTTCATATTTGAAAAATGTCTGCTGAGTAAAAGAAGACAATGGGCTTCGAGAGCTCAAACGCCAGCTTAATGTCTCTATTCTTGAAAGTCGTCACCTTTTCCACTTGTTGGTGTTTTCAGGGTCCTAGAAAATGGGCCAGTCATAGGGGTCCTCACAATCTGAGATAAAATGACCAATAATGGAGACATCATCACATTAAAATATTTCCTTATTTACGTATGAGACGCATAAAGTGTCCCACGTCTTACCTGACAGAATGAATGATTCATCCTAAATATGAGTCAGGGTTCAAGGTGTGTTGTTTGAGTGAATCCATTTGCTTCTGTCCACTGTGCTTTCATAATATTTGCATGACCTCAATCACACAAAGCAAGATTAGCCTGCAGGGTCAAAGTTCTTATTGAATAATCTGCTTCTGTTTTACGTCCCTTTATCCCAGCTTTGATCTTTTTTCATTATTATTATTATTTATTTTTCCGGGCCTTTTTTACTACCTCGTCCCTCTCCTTGAGTAATGAAATGCATCGCTGTTGAAATTATTTTCTTGCGAAACATTACCGCAGTGTTATAAATCTAAGCACGACTAAAGTCAGTCAAAGCTCACAAGCATTACAGAGGGGATAAAAACAATTTCCCTTTGTTTACACGCTTTCCCTTTTTCTTCTATTCTTTTACGTTTGCACCATTTGCAGCTGAGATATCTCTGGGTCCCAAGGGCAGGCGCATTCCTTTACACAAGAGTTGTGCAATCCCCCCCCCCCCCCCCACCCCCACCCCCCCAACCTACACCTCCTCCCATCAGACTCCCTAAATGCCCAGAGCGCTCAGATCCAAGCTGTCTAAACTGTCTGTGCAGTGGCCTGTGGTGGACTGCCCAGCCAGACCCGTAAACAAATGCTAAGCCTTGATAATGCAGGAATAAAACACAAACAACTTCACAATTGTGCAGAAATGTGTGACTATATATAGATTTTTTCAGTAACCTGTAACACCTGAGACAAATTATGTATGACAAACTAATTTACAAAGGGAACATAGCCGTAGTTTTATATGATCTGTCCTTCATGTTTGTGCACTAAATCTTTCCATATAGTGCAGCATAATAGTAAAACTACAATAGCTAAGTAATTTTTCATTACCAAAATTCATATGAAATATAAAACTTTTTCAGGAATTTTTTGGCTTTTTTTTTGCCTTTTTTGACAAAAGTTTTGACTATTTATGACATTTAATCAGCTGCAATCTGTTCTTGCAATTCTTTCCATGGAAATTGCATTTCTTGCTGAAAAATATTATCATAAAAATAATGCATACATCTTAGGTTTCACAACTGAGATTGTTTTATAAAACACTTATGTTTAAATTAACTAAACGCTAACTAGTATGCTTGAATAGAATTGTGGTGGGTTGCATGAAAGCCTCTGAAATAGTTGAAATTTATTTTATTTTATTTTATTTTTTTACTAGGAACTAAATGATTGAATATCACGAACCTGTAACGCTCAAAAAATTATGTGTTAAACTGGCTTGACATATATGTTAAACTGGCTTGACATACATTAATTTGTGAAGGTTTTTCTCATGTGATCCAAAAACGCAACGAAACTCGATACGTCAATCGGGACCGCTGGTTGTTGTAGTTTCTCGTGGATTACATTGACTTGGCAGAAAAGCAGCGATGACTACGTTTCCCAGAATGCAACATAACTCGGCGTAGTTTTGCACATCCTGTTAGCTTGAGAGGATAGCGGACGAACGGGCGGAAAAAAGAGATACCGATGTTTTAATATAAAAGTGGTGCATTATTGCTCATGAACGTAATATTCTGGAGTGCCCAAGAAGCATATTAGGAAGACGAAAATGGTAAAGTTATTCAATTATTCAAGTTAATCTTTTTTTTTATTAGCCGTCAGGTTATGTTAGCGTTTAGAACTCGACAGATAAGCACTCCATTCAGTCTAGAAAACTATACTGGTGGTTAAATTGAGGGTTTAACCACAGAAAACCTCCACTTTAGCCTATGTAGATAGCATGGTGAAATTCAAGAATGTCGAAGTGTACGCATTATGTTAAAAGCTAGGTGTGGTTTAATAGTGCTACCTTTTACACCAGCCAAGCTAACGGTCAGTAATAGCTTCAGTTACTTTCACATCTCAGTAAGCTGGAGTTCCATAGCTGCCAATCTATGGTACATATTATTCCAGTGTGTTAATCATTTGTGTGGGTGGGTTTTGTTGCAGATTATTTTGTTTGATCTAATCCGTTTTCTATCCCAAAGATCCGCTTTATCCTCATCCAGAACCGAGCAGGGAAGACACGATTGGCTAAATGGTACATGCAGTTCGATGATGACGAAAAGCAGAAACTGATCGAAGAAGTGCATGCTGTGGTTACAGTCAGGGATGCCAAGCACACCAACTTTGTGGAGGTATGGGATTGTATAAATGCTTTAATGTGTGGCTGTTTTTGCAGACTGCATAGACATTAAAAAGTTAAGATTTCTAATTTTAAGTATAGCTCAATACTCTTGAAAGAGAGGCTGAAATGCAATTGGATTGTAATGTTTCATATATGGATGTTGATCAATATCTGCAGGAAAATAACATTCAAAAGAACATATTTTCTATTTATTGAACTTGGTCTGTATGTGAAGATAACGCCTTAAATACACCCTTGGGTGACTTATCATTTTTAACAAATACAGTATAATAGAAGAGGTTCCCACCTGTTTATTTTTTGCTTGTAGTAGACTTAAATATAATTATTGGTATACAAAGCCTTGAGTCTCTCAGCTCTGCTGAAACTTCTGTTACACAAATCTAAATTTCTAATTGGATTTCACCATTTTGTCCTCACAGTTCAGGAACTTCAAGATCATTTACCGACGTTATGCAGGCCTGTACTTCTGTATTTGTGTGGATGTGACTGATAACAACCTGGCATACCTCGAGGCGATCCACAACTTTGTTGAGGTAAACAATGAACACACACAAACATCCATCCATCATTTATTTATGAAGCACATTTAAAAACACAGCATTTCAGCTGTCCAGAGTGCTGTACAGGAGGTCCAAAGGCCAAAAAACAGTGGTGGGCTACTCTACAAAATAGATGAGAGAGGAGGGAAAGTATAACAAGTTGGAAGTAAAAAGAGCCCAAACTGTACAAATTGTAGAAAAAGAAAACAAGAACCTAGCAGTAGCTAATACACTTAAAATGAAATCAGTGGACATATGAACAAAACAATAACCTTATTTCGAGATAAAACACACACATGACCTGTGCTTGTCATGGTCTGGTGGGGTTTAGGAGTGTTTCTTTGTGGCTGTGATTTGTTACCTTGCAGTTCTTGAATGCCAAACTGGCTGCATTTTTGTGTGGATTAAAAACTAACATATAGTGGTTAAAAATGATCGTCATTCAGTTATGAAGGCATGGAAAGCATTCATAATAAATGTGTGATTTGGCAATTAAATGTTCACCTTATATAACATCTGTCTGGTGCAGAATGTGTCAGGAGAAAATAATTGAATTTATTTAAAATTATTTAACCTCTATTTCAGCACCGGTTTGAAACACTTAAGCATCAAATACAATTAAAGTTTTTATTTTTATATTTTGATGATTGAATGTTTTGGCTTCGAGTCTGAAACAGAAATGAGGTAAAATTTCACTATTCTGTTTTAGCAGCAGTGTTTTCAGTCTGATCTTTGTGCTTTTACAATAATAATTTTGCACAAGTGAAGCTGACGGTATCCACCTAAACTACTTTTGAAGCCTTTCTCTGAAATGGACCACCTCAGGGATTATTGAGCGGTTTATTTTTTGTTTTTGCATAGAACTGTTAAAAAACTAGGACAAAATGGTTAAATTTGTTGTTATGCTGCAGCCTTTCTGCCATTTCTCACACAATGGAAAGCAAATGGGCAGCTGTGGAAGCCAGAATAAAGTAGAAGAAAATCAATAGTAGACAATAGCTGTCCTTGTTACCGTTAGCCAACAGCTAAACCAAATCCTGAACAACAGGTTTAAAATGTTGTTTTATTTAAAGTGAATTTGGTATTTTCTGTTCTGCAGTCGCATTTCACTCGTAGGAATTGTCGGTAATTGTCGTACACACTTTGGTTGTGTAGCTTAAAATGTACATTTTTCTGTTTCTCTTTGCTGGAAGGTGCTGAATGAATATTTTCACAATGTGTGCGAACTGGATCTTGTGTTCAACTTCTACAAGGTGAGAACACACAGAGGGATTATTTTTCAGATTTGACACAATCTCTGATAGAAAGACATTACATGTATTTTTAATTGTATTATTTTGATGACAAAGAGGGGGAGTTGGGTCATGTTCGCATGCAGTTGATGGTATTTGTGCTCAGATCAGTATTTGTCCTCTCATCTGTTTTGTGCGTCTGTCTCAAGGTGTACACGGTGGTGGACGAGATGTTCCTGGCAGGAGAGATCAGGGAGACCAGTCAGACCAAGGTTCTCAAGCAGCTCCTCATGCTCCAGTCTCTTGAGTGAAAATGTGTCCTTCCTGTGCTTTTTATCTTCTGCCCAACCCGACCTTCACCATGTCCCTATCACTCTGGAAGAACCACACCATTCTCCATGCCCCTGCAGAGCCAGCTCTCATCTTCAAGACAAGGAGGGAGGGGGTTGTTTTGAATAAAAATACACAATATTGTTTACGTATGGATATGAGTTCAGCTGTTTGCCATAGCAGCCCATATGTTGCATTATTCTGATAAACTGCTATAGATGTCATCAACAAGCCTACAGTCTCAGTAGATTTTAACATTTCAAATAGTCCTGCCAATGTTATGAGCTTTGTAACTAACTGCAGAAAAGAGTTGTTTCATGTTTGCATTTATCCATGTTCACTGTGGAAATCAGTGTGAGACTGCTCTCTGTCCCAGTAACCTAAACATTTACTCAATGGCACTACTGTAACTAACAAGCACCATAAAAATAAACTGCAGATAGACCCGAGAACCCCCAACAGCTCCGTAGTTGTTTCTAGACGTCCAGTGTTGTGGGTTATCTCTGCTGAGTCCCAGCCCACCAGCGGACTACAAGTAGGAAGCTCTTCAGAGCCGTTGACCCAGCAGAGAAAGTTCATCCCAGAATGGAGCGTACTCGGGATGAGGAGCGTTTCAGTGGGGTGTTATGGTGACCGGTGACGAGAGAGAAAGTTATGTTGGATTTGTTCAGCTTTGCTTCCAATTACATCAAATGGTGCTTGTTCCCTCTTAAAACACTTAAATACAAAGAAAACCTGGACAGAGTCAGTTTTACATGAAGTGGAACTTTTGCTTTGCGTTGTGTTTGTATACACACACACACACACACACAAATATTTAGCATCTTATGTCCAGTACTGTGTAAAAAAAAAAAAAACAGCTCCTAATCATCTTGAGATTCATACATTCCTTTGATGTTTATTTGCCTAAAACCATAACATGGATGTATGGTGGATGGAAATCTGCTTTATTCATACAGGGGTTAAATGTTTTATCAACATCCCATGATCTAATTTTAACCATATCCAGTCAGATAATCTGAAACTACTTATTTCTTATGAAATAGTAATGACCTATATCCTGTTTCCCTTGTGAGTTAGCTGGTGGAACATGTGTTACAGTCTATTCAACACCTATTTGTCCAGTTTTGTGTAAATAAACAGATTAAGTGATTCTGCTGTCTGTTACTCCTTTTTTCTCTCCAGGATCTTAACGCCATCTAGTGGTGAAAACAATTTAGTCCTAAATCAAGTGAAATGGTTATGAGGTCATTGTGCCAGCCTGCTGGAATCAGTGGATCCATCAACACATCCACTCCAGCCACGCTAGTCGTTACTCCATCGACCCAGGAGGGTAAATCCTGACGATTTGACACGGAGGACATTAACTCGGCTCCGAGTCCTCCGATATCCTCACCTCAACTCCTCTGAATGAAATGACTGGAGAGAGACAGAGGAGGAGGAACATCAATCATTTAACTTTCCATCAAGTCAGCCGTCAATAAATCTGGACTGTAGCTGCGTCTGATTTCTGCTCACAACAGGAGGGAATGAGCTGATGCGCTTTGATAAACAGCAGCTTAAAGGCAATACGCACATCGGGGGAAGATTCAATGGAAAACAAGCAGTTTACTGGGAATTACAACAATCACAATAGATAAATCTTATTTACAGGATAGGCTACTCGTACAGCAGTATTCAGGTTGCATATTTCACATATTTTACAGAACAGCTGTTCATCGAATGATCAAATCCAGACTGGAACTTGTGGCATAATAATATATTTATGGCTATTCTGAAGTCTGCTTATTATGAACTGTACAATAAACACAGATTAATTGCATTTTAACTCTGATTTGGCAGTTTTCAACTATTTCAGTTACTTAATAAATGCAGATAAACAGTTATCTGTGAAGAGGAGTGATCCGTTGCTGCTGACAGCCACCTAAAGCTCACCAAGTCCACGTCAGGAGTTTGAACAATAATTGTGACAGCAGAAACGAGGAGACTGAATCAATAATCTGATTTGTTTTAAAGTAGGAATTACACCTACACTAAAACCTTTATTACAGTAAAATAAAATGTACATTTCTTTAGTTGCAGCATATAAACAACACATTTTAAAAGTAAAAGTGCACTTTGAGATGAGCCGAACCATCACAGAATGAACAGGTTTATTTTTAAAAGCAACATTTCGAACCGTCTGTCTCTTGCTGCGCTACATACTCTCCACGCCTGAACGTCGTTCCTTCAGTGAGCCGACTCGCTCGGGTTAGAAACGCGTGCGGTTTGGCTGCAGGGACACGCCAGAGCCACCGGACCAAAATATGTTTGTTTTGATCCCGTCTCGGGTCAGTCTGAGTTGTCAGCGGCATGTGGAACCTCGTGTTCCTCCAGCAGCACCATGAACTACGCTGTCAGTGGTTCAAGGAAAGAGAAACACACATTTTTGTGGAAATATTTTCTTTTCTCCAAAGTCTGTCTGAGGGAGAAAACTGAAGCAGTTTGCCATTCCTGTGCAAAGCAAAGAAGGCAAACAGAATCCTGACTTTTATCGCTGAGACTCACAAACAGACAAGACTAAACGATTCCAGAACCTTTAGAGAGGATCTTCATGAACAAAACAGGCAAAACAATTATGGTGCGCTGCGGTTTTGGATTACATTTAGAGATTGACAGATTTTAACTGAGACTCTGATCAAGATCAACCTACAGACTTTGGGATTCTTAGATAATAATAAGAAGGTCTCTTCTTTGTGCTTTAGAAATGTCCCACGGGTTTGCCTCTTTTGGTTTCATGTGGAGTGACTAAACTTTCTGGAATTATTATGCTACTAATTCACAATCAGTAATAACAGCATGTAATAAAAGTGCATTTGCAGCTCCAAAACTGAACATTCGCAAAGTATGACTGAATAATTAGGCTTCTCTGAAAAGTCCATTCAAGTTCACTAATAAACAGATTAAATTTTTAAGTAAAACCTTAGATTTAATCATTTTAAGCCTAAATATGTGCTAAATTACTTCTTTACAACTTGTCTGTCACTAATCAGTTGTAGGTTGAATTTAACGATGACGCCTCACTGATTCAGAAGAGGCCGAATGAAGAAAATCCGTTCAAGTAAGTCAGCAACGATGTGCAAACGAGGAAATCTTGGAGTTACTGAAACCAGAGTAAATAAACGATAAAGACCAGAAAAACCCAAACAAACAACCCGTGGTTTATCCTGGTAAATAACTGATGATGGCTCTTCCTTATGAGGGGTCTGCCTGTCCAGAACCAAGCCGCTCCGACTCAGACGCTTACCAGAAGTCGGGTCGCTGCGTCATCCAGGTGATCTAAGGTGAATGAGACTGACGTGAGACAGCTAAAAATGTTATTTTCTTACATTTCTGTTCTAGCTTGATGTGATGAAACATTACTGACCAGTAGAGGGAGTCCTGTCTGTGTGGGCTCAGGTGATGAAGGCGCCTGATCCCTAGCAGTTACACTGCTGCTTGCTCTGCGTTGTGGTGCCTCTCGGCTGCCGCGGCTGTCGCAGCGACGCGTCTCCGTACTGAATTCCCGAGCCCATCCTCTCCGGGTCCAGTTCCCCTTCAAGGCGAAGCAGAACGAGGAGCGTCACCAACACAAGCTACACACACAAACCTGGCGATCGGACGCCATCTTTTACCCGAATCGATCTTGTTGAGGATGTTGCGAGCGCATTTCAAAAAAGCTTCTTCTACGTTCTCCCCCGTCAGAGCGCTGGTCTCTAGAAACATCAGCTCTGTGGGAAAAAGTTCAATTAGAAAAGTGGAAACAAGACATAAAAATCAGACGCAGAAATGAAACGCGGGCTAGCGTTAGCTACCATTCTCCTGAGCAAAACGGGATGCTTCCAGGAAGGTCACCTCTCTGTCTGCATCCAGGTCCTTCTTGTTCCCACACAGAATAATTACGATGTTGGGGCTCGCTAGAGTCCTCGCGTCTGTGAGCCAGTTAGTCAGAGTGTTATACGTCTCTCGACTGTTGGGAGGAAAAGACAGAAGTGTTTAATGTTGGCGACACATAACGCTAATAACCATAAACACTGTTATATAGGAGCCTGACAGTCACAGAACTTTCAAGGAAACATTTCTGGGCTGAAGTCACTGGTTTTGGTGGAAGTAGGGCCCCAGTTGCCATGGTAACATGAGGTCAGTGAGGTGAAGAAAAGGGTGTGGGGTCCTCACAGGGATGTTTAACAGCTGTTTTCACTAAGTAAAGACTGACGTAACTCTTTGTCCACTCTTTTTTTCCCCTGTAAACACTTGAAGCGTCGCCTCCTGCTGCCCACCTCTGCCTCTCCTGCAGACGCCTCTGCACTGATCTACAGCAGCTACTCTCTGCATTACTCAAAACACAACTCCTCAATAACAAGCTGGAGTTTGCCCAGTCCAGACCCCCCCATCATTAAATCATACTGCTTATGGACACGCTGTGAAGCCTATAGGTCAGAATGGCTAACAGAACAGAAATGGTAAAAGGGATGGTCGTGAAAATGAGAGGGTGTCTAATTAAAATTATTAGCAATTTCTGTCTAAGACTAAATTATTTCATATGTCGTTTGAATAGGAGAAAGAGCCATACTTTGGAGAACACTTATGCAAAGGCGAACGTTATTTTTGTCACAAGAAAGCCAGGATCAGGTCATAAACAGCAAATGATTCCAGGGTTTTTTACCTTGTGATGTCGTAAACAAGGAGCGCCCCTGCTGCTCCTCTGTAGTAGCTACGAGTTACAGAGCTGCGAAAAGAAAACGGACAAGATGCAAAATAAGCCGGGAGAGCACAGGAGGGCAAAAACAAACCTGTCTGCTCATATAAGTGATCACAAACCAGGATTTCTCAGAGCTATCACACCGTGACTCCATTTGGGTTCAATAAATCATGTTTCTGTGAGAGGTCGCCAAAACCTTCACAGGCAATATTATGAGCCGTTACCGAAATCGCTCCTGGCCCGCAGTGTCCCAGATCTGCAGTTTGACCGTCTTCCCGGCAACATTGACCACCCTGGAACCAAACTCCACGCCGATGGTGTGGTTGGAGTCCTGTTTAACTGAGAGGAAACAAACAACACAGAAAACTGAAATGCTTTTGCAGAGGGGAAGTTTGATTTGTGTGTCACCCTCTGTAACAGAATGAAGCATAAGGTCCAGCTTAAACATTCTGACAGTTTTAACGTTTCACACATCAAATAATGCACTATAAAATGCACCCGGAGCCCTGAATGACAGGTTTATTAGATATACGTCTACAGCCTTGGGAACCAACGCCGACTCTGTGACGATCAGTTCTGAAAAATGAGGACTTAACTGAGCTTTTACTAAACCAAACTACACAAGAGTGTATTTGTACTCCCAACAATATAAAATTACTGCTCAGATGGATTATTTTAATCAGCATTTTCTTTAAAAACATGGAAAGTTAAGAGTCGAGTCAGTGAACAGTAGTATTACAACTCTGAACCGATTTAATGATGACCTGCTCTAAGTGTCAGAAATCTAGACCCACACACGGTTCAAGACATCGTTACAGATTTACTCCACTCAGCAGTCATTCACTCTTCTTGTACCTCCCTAAAGTTTTCATTTCAACAGCATCAGTTTGGTCGGTTTATGTGCGAACAAATGAGCTGGGTTGGGTTGAGACTTACACTTGTTCTCGATGAACTGGTGAAGGAGACAGGATTTCCCCGCCCCAGCACTGCCGATCACCAGGAACTTGAAGAGGAAGTCTGCGAGCAGATGAGAGATGGAACGTCAACGCGACAGAAACACAGGTGGTAGTTGTGCAGCCCTTAGCCTCAGATAAACCCTTAATCCCGTTAAAGCCACTACTTTCACCAAACTCAAATTAGCCAGCTAATCACAGAGCTCTGGAATCATAAAAACCTTCATCAGTTATGAGTCCCGATGTTTGTCTGGTGTGAATTAGGAGCCCCAGACTATCACACCACCTCCACCATGCCTTACAGCTGGTGTGGTGTTGAGATCATTTAGCCTCCTTTCTGTTGTCAGACAGAGTCTAATGAGAGGATTTACCAGTGACTTTCGCACAGGAGCCACGTTGGTTTGGATTAACAAATGAAATAATCATTTAACTGCATTCTGTTTTTGCTCTGGTTATTTTTGTCTGATGCTTTAATGTGTTTATGAAAGAAGTGTAAGAAAAAAGCAAAACAGAACAAACGCGTAAGAAACTCTTTCAAAGAAGTGACTGAGGACTTTGAAAAAGGGTTTTATGTAGCCGCCATGTCAGGTTTAATGGGAAAAAAAATTAAGGTGGAATCAGTAAGAAAACCAAGAAAGAGGATATGTTTATAAGACCATGAGATCAAATTACATTTGCAAGGACACCTTCCCTCCTGAAAGTCTGTTTCAGAGAGGAAATAAAGACAAAGGGCAGCTTGGGTTTGCACACAATCACAGAGAAGTGCTGAATGGAAAAACAGATGCTGATTTACCAAGTAAAGAGAATATCTCGTTATGGTTTAGCTGCACAGATTGTTATTCAGCTCCTCCACGAGATTTAAACTCATTAAGCCTTGGAGGCACCTCCATCAGCGCGCGCACACACACACACACACACACACACACGCACACACACACACACACACACACACACACACCAGCAGATTGGTGCATTATCCTCTATAGAGGATTTTCTTCAGCAACACAAACTCAAGAAGTCAATTTCATGAGACTATGACCATCTCAACCACACAGAAGAAGAACTGAGACTCCCAGGTTAACAGATTTCTTGCCTCAGCTTTTCAGAATCCTCCCAGGATATACCAGAAATCCCCCCCCCCCCCCCCACCCCCCCACACGAGATCTGCAAACAACTATCCAGCTGTCAATATGTCAAAGCCATAGAGAAGGCATAAGACAGCTTGGCCCTCTCCACATGCTATTGCATTCTTTACACATCAATATTAAGGAAGGCAAATGTCCCGTTACATCTGGCGTAGAAGTAACACAGCATTTAAGACAAAGAACATCACACCAACAGTAAAATATGGTGGTGGTAGTGTGATGGTCTGGGGTTGTGTTGCTGCTTCAGGAACTGGAAGGCTTGCTGTGATAAATGGAACCATGAATTCTACTCTCTACCAAAACATCCTGAAGGAGAATGTCCGGCCATCTGTTTGTCAACTAAAGCTGAAGCCATCTTGGGTGCTGCAGCAGGACAATGACTCAAAACACACCAGCAAATTCACCTCTGAATGGCTGAAGAACAACAAAATGAAGACTTTGGAGTGGCCTAGTCAAAGTCCTGACCTGAGTCCTATTGAGATGCTATGGCATGACCTTAAAAAGGCGGTTCATGCTAGAAAACCCTGAAATAAAGCTGAATTACAACAATTCTGCAAAGATGAGTGGGCCAAGATTCCTCCAGAGTGCTGTAAAAGACTCGTAACAAGTTATCGCAAACGCTTGATTGCAGTTATTGCTGCTAAGGGAGGCCCAACCAGTTATTAGGTTCAGGGGGCAATTACTTTTTCACACAGGGCAATGTAGGTTTGGATTTTGTTCTCTCCCTAAATCAGGGGTCAGCAACCGTTCCCATCAAAGAGCCATTATTACCCGTTTCCCACAGTAAAGAAAACACTGGGAGCCACAGCAGCTGCGGCGTTGTGGGCGGGGCCTACCCTCAGACAGCAGAGAGCTGCTTTAACCAATCACAACAGGTGTCAGCAGCCAGTACCGGTCCCTCATGTACGTCAAAGTTATCTTTCATAAGAAGATAATCAATAAAACGATTTATATAAAATGGATCCAGAAGTTGTAGCCCGTCTCTGCCTACAATATTTTGATATTTTTCACCCTGTTGATGGTTTTACTGAGCAGGTGCCACTTTTGTCATACGTTTCTTTTTAAAACATGTTTAGACTGTTCAGAATACAAATCCAGGCTCTGTCACATTAGATTGTTGTAATTAAACTTTGTTGGTGGGGAAGGTCAGAAAAGGATCCGATCAATTTGTTTTCCCCTCATTTACAGTGACGGAGATACCGGCGCAGTGCGCCTGGCTCTGGTGTTAATCAAGTTAAATTTTATCTCTTTGCAACAATTTTCACAAGAAAACAAAAGTTAAAAGCAGGGCTTGTGTTGTGTTGACCGGACAGTTCCCGTATTTGACCGTTTATTTTGACGGAGAAAGAATAGAAAGAATTACCTCAACGCATGCAGACGAACTGACATTTTATTCGTTATGCACATCACAGATGTAGCTAAATCACTCAAGAAAAGATTTCCTTCTGAACATCTGAGCTGGACACTGCTCAGCGCAGCTCACGGTCAGCGTGTACGTACGGCGCACAGCGAGCTGAAGATGTGGAGAGGGGCTTGGAGCGCGTTGCAGAACCAGAGCACATGCGGGAAGATTCCTCCGACTGAAGCGAGACTTGTCACTTAGAAATTGTTCCCTGATTATGAAACTTTGGCTGAATAGTGCTTGTTCCTGTCTCCAATGTGGCGACACATCCATGAGCCCATCTGAGGAGAATCCCAGAATCTCACATCGTCTTCAGCTCAGGAAGTGCCTATGATTACGCACAAGCAGGTGACCCGTCAACCCGGTCTCACAGTAAGACCGGGTTGGACCTGTTCAGGTTTACGCAGACAATCTTTACATAGAATTGGCATACAGATGTAAAATTAATGCAGTAAAATATAAAGCATTTTATTTAAATATCCAGTCATTATTTTACAAGCACAGAGAGCCGCATCAGATGGATGGAAGAGCCGCATGCGGCTCCAGAGCCGCGGATTGCCGACCCCTGCCCTAAATAATAAAAACCATCATTTCAAAACTGCATTTTGTGTTTACTTGTGTTATCTTTGACTAATGGTTAAATGTGTTTGATGATCAGAAACATTTTGTGTGACAAACATGCAAAAGAATAAGAAATCAGGAAGGGGGCAAATAGTTTTTCACACCACTGTACTTTATCTACACGATGCTTTAGAGTTCCACTACAGGTCCTCCAGAGAAGGACTCCTCTCTCACCAGTAAACACCCAGCGTGCAGACATTGCATTCGGTATCAGAGACGGAAATCAATAGAAGGCTATTACAGCTACCATTAGAGCTGACAGTCTTCCACATATATATGGCCCACATGGATAAAGTTTCATGCAAGAAATCTGGGAGAGAGTTTGCAAGTAAAAGCAGATGGTGAGAGTCTAGGTGTGCAACAGGAGAGGATAATGGTGTGGCATTTTAACATTTCTGGCTCTGAGGTGTGAGGGTTTTTGTGTCCTATAAAGTAATTTCCTGCAACAGTTTCTCTCAAAAGTTGATGGCAATGACTGTCATCTGTCACAAACAAGTCCTTTTAAACCTAAAAGCAGTGGGAAGTAGAATTGTGCACCCGCAGTGCAGTTTTACACACACACACACACCATTCAAGAGGTGCAACTTTAATTAAAAAGCAACATACATTTTGAATCTTGCAGAAGTACTGACCTTTGTTTGGATTCAGGATGCACATATCTAGCAGCTTCTGACAGGTAACGGGGGCATAAACAACACAAATACACTCACTTCCTGCTATGGCCTAGAGGCTTGAAGCTACTTCCCAGGGACGATATCGTGTTCTTTCAGGATGCAAAGGTCACACAATTGACTTGAATTTCAACAAACTATGGTTACCTGAGCGTCTGACAGCACCGTACTCGTATATCGACAGACTACTAATGCATTTCATCAAAAGTTTGGTAAACTCTCACTTGAAATGTGTCACCATCTGTTTACTCGCGTTACAAACCGGGTAACGAGGCAATTTAATCCACCGCCGTGAAACAAATGTACTAGTGTAGAAATATAACCAGAGCATTCAAAGTGAAGTTTTATCAAAATAAAATGTCAGCTACGAGTGTTAAATAACCCTAATAAAACCCACAGACGCGACAACGGGGCGGACTAAACAAGCTAACTAGCAGCGTAGCTAAGACAAGTCTGTCACAGCAGAGGACAGTAGGGCAGTGAGGTGTAGCGGCTAACTCCACACAAACATACCGTATGTCTCCGACATGTTGACCCTCGCTGTGGGAAGAACCCTTTTGCGGTTCTTTTGGTGTGACAGCTGGTGGTCGCTGTGTCACACCTCCTTAGGGTGTTTATCTACGATGATGGAGGCTTCCTTGATCCCTTCCTAGCTTCCTTTGCTCAGACAAACACGGCAGCTGCGTGCTGCGTCGCTAGTGTTCCACTTGTGTTGTGTTCATGTTTCAGCAGCCGTGTCGGATTTTTTTTAATTCGCGAGTAGTTCAACTAAATGTTCCTAGATATTTATTTAAAATTCACAGAAAACATCATAATGTTTTGTTATAGTTTGGGTTTTACCTTTCTGACATTTTACTAATGTTAGTTTCTAGAATCCTAAAAAAGGCAGCATTCAATACACATTATTACCACTTTAATGACGCCCTGTTTATCCAGAAAATAAAATACTAGACTAAATAGTTATATCTTTTTTTAAATATTATAAACTGTTACTTATGTATTCAAACTTTTAATGTCACATATACTTGTAAAAGGTAGAATTATTAAACTGACCTATCAAACCCAGATCCCAAGAGTCTAGGAGCCCAGAAAATCATCTGTTTACATTTAAAACAAAAGTGTAGAGCATCTGCTTCAAACGTTAGGAAGATGTTAAATAGAAGCTAAATGAATTCAAAGAGGGAGATCTACAGAAGTACTGCAGAGGGAATGGCAGCTTCAGAATTGCAGCAGATACAAACAACAGTCTAAACCAGAAACGACATCACAGCAGTGGAACTGAATTCCTAACAACAAATCTAAAACATATTTACTATGTTCACTTTGTCCATCAAAATGTGTAGGATATGTGAGTTCAATACTGAGCCACAAGGTGGCAGAGCAAGACAGCAAAACTTAAATATGTTTGATTGATTTTTAAGATTGAAACCTCCACAGATGTCACAAGCTGACTGGTGAATTTAGTTTCGTTTAATGTCATATTTTGACTGATGGCCTCTGCTTCTTTGTTCCAAAAATCTGAACATAAATATGTTAAAAATCTGTATTCAAAGGAACCCTGCATTAATGTGTTTGCTTGACTTCTGAGTACTTTGGAAAACCACAACTTAATGCTTTTCACACTCTCTCTCTCTCTCTCTCTCTCTCTCTCTCACACACACACACACACTCACACACACACACACACACACACACACACACACACACACACACACACACACACACGAGCGCCCAGGGCCTGGAGTGCCTGACCGCCAAAGGGCAACAGGTGATAAATTGCAGATCCTTTCCACTCTTTTACCATCCCTCAGAGTTCCTCCCCTGTCTTTGTTCTTCTTTGGCAGATCCACTCATCCTCCCCAGTCCTGTTAAAAGCTCCTTTCACAAAGATTAAAGACAGAAGGAAACACTAGGCTCAGCATCGTGTGGGGTCACGGATGTTTTCCTAAGGTGGGCTACAAGAAAGGCAAAGGTGTGTAGCATGCAGGCTGAAAGAAGAAATGAGGGGCTTTCCTTCCATTAGGCGCTTTCTTTTCAGTCTCTCCTTTGTTCTCCCTCTTGTCCTCCTGTCCACTACAGGAGTCATCATCAGAGCAGATATTTGTTTAGACTCCCTTGCAAGCACAGCATTTGTGTGTGTTTGAGTGGGGGTTGTGTTACTGACAGCTCAGATTAACAGACAAGCCTGGCGGGTTCATATGCACACAGAAACACATGTGAAACACAAATATGACATGGGAGGGGCATCAGAACAGTAATCATGCTGTGCACACAGACGACTTCAATGTGGGGTCAAAACAAAGGAGCGCATTAGGGAAGCCCCATGTAAAACCAGTCAGTGTGTTTACAGCAAACAGTCGTTTTCCAAGGAAGAGTTTAGGTGAATCAATCCTTCAAACAGGTGATCGCCGATGTTGGGAAATGTTTATATAAAAGTGTTTATCCCATTATGAGTCATTCCTCTGTGGTGTAACACACAGTGTGTGTCGGGGGCCTGCTGTTTTACACACGTGAACAAAGCCAGATGACTATGAAGTAAGAGGGCCGTTGTGACATGACGTGGTGTTAACAGACGAGACACGTAAACACATTAATGACCTGAAACACGAACACTGCCAACACCAGAGGAAGATCTGTGAGAGCAGAACAGCAAAGTAGAAATCAAATCAACATAACTCTGATTCAGATAATAGGAGGATATTTAGGCTCTCCGTTCTCATAAATATACCCCTATCCATGTAGAGTATGTTTTGCATGGTAAGTTAAGCTGCAGTAAGCTGCCTTGCACAATAAGAACTCTGGCTAATTAAAAAAAAAAATATTTTACTCAAGGCAATGAAACTGGAGCAAATTATTAAATTAATGTATTTCAGTTCTAAATATGTATGTGAAAACAAGTCAAACACGTAAGTGGCCATTCAATTCAATTCAATTCAAGTTTATTTATATAGCACCAAATCACGACAAGAGTCGTCTCAAGGCACTTCACATAATAAACATTCCAATTCAGGTCAGTTCATTAAGCCAATCAGAAATAATGTTTCCTATATAAGGAACCCAGCAAATTGCATCAACTCACTGACTAGTGTCAGTGACTTTAGAGCAATCCTCATCCTAAGCAAGCATTTAGCGACAGTGGAGAGGAAAACTCCCTTTTAACAGGAAGAAACCTCCAGAGAATCCTGGCTCAGTATAAGCAGCCATCCACCACAACTCACTGGGGATTGAGAAGACGGAGCACACACACACACACACACACACACACACACACACACACACACACACACACACACACACACACACACACACACACACACACACACACACACACACACACACACACACACACACACACACACACACACACACACACACACACACGACAAAGTAATGTGTCTATAGTTATATTTTGATTTCTTAGTAAATATTCTATTTGGTGAGAGATAAACTTTATTGTATTTATCCTAGTGAATCTATAATTAAACGGATAAACTAGCAGTAGCACATCCAACGTCAAGGAAAGCAAAAAGACCATGAGTCTGTGGAGTGGACCTATAGGTGAGACATTTCAACACTGAGTTCAACGGTCCAGAAGACACCCAAACAGCAACAACTATTGGATCCAGAACACCTCACAGGCAGCCACAAGCTTAAAGGATCAGTGTTCATTTCCAAACTAACTTTCACCTGATCTTTCTCTTTGTTAGTAATGACCATAAAAATGAGATTAAAACACGTGTTGGTCTGACAAGGATTTGTTTCCACTGTGAAATTACATTAAAAATAAATGAAAAGGTTAATGAATTGATGGTTAAAACAAGGTTAACGTTTCCTCTTTCATCAGTGAAATTGTCTTTATTTGGACGGCATCAGGCTAAAACTGGACTGAATATTCTGCAGAAACAACAAGAAGTTTCTTTTCTACAGAAGCATGCTTCAAAGTGTCCAAAAAAATCCCTTAAAGCTAAATCTTTGATCTTCTCAGACAGAAATCTCTCCACACTTTACTGCTTCTTGCGTCTGAATTCAAGATGTTAGCCAAAAAGCAGGAGCAAGGTTCCATCATCATTTTTAAAATTTTGTATTTTCATCTTCGGTTCTTCCTCCATTCAAACAACAAAAAGAACAACTCCCCTAGTTTTAAGGGTAACATTTCTTTTTGCTTAGTAACTCACATTAATCGTTGCATCATTGCTGCCCATTTTGTTGAATCTTTTTTAAAAAGAGACAGTAAGTAAGCAGGAGCGTGACACATCTGGACCAGCCCGTGTGTTGCAGCATCTCAACAAGTACTAGCTCATCAGAGGCAGAGAAAAAGAAAAGCTAGGTGTGAATATGATGCACATCAAATGTGATTTCTACTGAGTTTACACAATGACGGTTTAAAAAAAGGAACTCTACGTATTTGTGCACAACTCAAAAAACATTCTTTGCTGCATTTATATGAATGTTTTAAATTATCTTCATCATATGTTATCTGTTACATCTTTTATAACAGTATTAAGCAGGGGTGGGAATCTATTAAAATTAATCTAATTAATCAGAGGCGTAATTAATTAATCTGGATGAATCTTATTTTAATCGTTCAAGACAATTTGCCCCTAAGCAATTTTTTCTATCAATAATAATGTTACTGAGACAAAGATGAAATGCCCACACTTTAATGTGTATACTTCTGTAACCACACAATCTATTTGATTACTTTGGTCTCATTATAATGGTAACAATTTTTGGATTAGTTGGGATGTGTGAATATTAATAAATATGTTATTGATGAAGTGTAAATAGACATTGTAAATGTTGTGTATTGAATTGAACACTAGGTGGCAGGGGAGCACTGCTATTATATATTTAGTGGTGTAGTGTAGAGTTCAGGGGAAGTTCTGCTGAGGGTTACCAGTTGAATGCTGTGTGCATGCTTGTCCCTGTTGTTGTAATAAAGTTCACATGGATAAAGGTACTGCCTGCCTGCTTTCTACCATCTTCTTTTCATCATTTTGTCATTATTTGTTTATTTGTAGTATTTGTTGTGCTTGGAGCTCATAAAAAAGGTTTATATGATCTTGTAGCCCAAGCTTTGCTGTCTTGTTAGAGGTGCAGCTTGATGGTATTTAAACAGGGCATGAATTGTAATGCTAAACTTTTCTGGCCCTCAATTTGGGGACGCTCAGGTTTTAACGCATTGTTTTTCTAAGTAATTCATCATAATTTACACGTTAAATTCCCATTCCTAGTATTAAGCTTTCTAACATGAATTATTTAGCATTCCCCCTAATTAAACTCAGATTTTGTTGGTTGGACACTTGTGAATGTAATGATTTCCTGTCTTGGCTGGTGTTTTTGCTCTTGGCCGTATTACCAGTCACCATTTCTTCTTAATTGTTTGTGTTCCAGTGGGAAATAACAAGGTCAAGGCATTGATAGACACAGATATAATCTTTCTGCATACTCAGTAATTGCACAATACGCACAAAACCCATTCCACATGAGCTGGCTGGCTGAACTGAGGATTTATGGTCCTTTGAAACCAGAGTTAAGAAACGTTGTCATAAATTAAAACATGAGCTGTGCTCAAAGAGATCCAGGCGGCTGTAAGTCTGAAATACGCTCACTTTTTAGAATTAAGAATAAAATTTCAAAATAACAGATCCGCATTCGGCTGGTTAATTTACAGATGAAGGCAGGAGATGTTGGGAGGAAAAAAGTCTAGATGACCTCT